TAATATTAGGTTTAACCCATGAAAATTTCCTGGTGAATCTTAATTCTTCAGTTAATGATTGAATAAGCTCATGGTGCATTCTATGACAATAAAATATTTTCAGAAATTTCCCTATCACATTGTTGAAATTGAAAACGTTTTCCCTTTCACTGAAACAGCAGTTAAACACATCCATCTTCTCTTCTTTCATTTTCTGACTGAAACCAAGTAGCATCTTTGATTATGTCTTTTGTCTTCTCATGCAATCAAAACAGAATAGTCCATTATTTATAGGGTATTAACAAGAGACGTTAAACACTTCTTTCTTTCATTGAAACTAAGTGGTGTCTCTGATAAGTCTTGTCTTTCCATGCAATGAAAACGGAATAGTCCATCTTTTACGTGATATTGGCAGAGGGTAATGCTCATGTGCACCACTGAAGAGAGGAACAAGCACAATATGGTTATCATATTCAACTGCTTTTAATGGCCGTTTCATCTCATATAAATCTGGATGCATTTGCTTGCAATGGAATATTTTTTTATTACTTTCTTCATTATAACTTTATAGTTTCTTTAGAGATTTGTTTATCAACAACATGAAGAAATCCATTATTTATAAATGGATAATGTTATTTGGTCAGTTATATGGGAAGTTTTATCCTATTGTTCAAATTTTGTATAGTGAATATTTTAAGGCAAGTGTCTGAGCATGTGGAAGACTGTGACAACTTTAAATAAAACTTAAAAAAACCCAACTAAAGTTACATTTTCATTTAGCTCTGTCCAAACGTTCACTTGAAGAATAAAAACAGAAATTATCAGGCTGCTAAGAAATAGCCTCAGTTGAGAAATGAACTCAACTTCTCTTATCCCTGTGAGCAAAGCATTGATTTGCTACTTGTCACCAAGGCAACTGATGAACTTTATTAAACAAGCTAAATTATACAAAAATGATTCTCATATTTCATAGCGAGTTGGTAATTGTCTCATACAAAATGGCATTTGATAGACTAATGCTTTGGTACTTTCAAACAAAGTTCCCTTTTAAGTTTTAGTAGATGGTGTGCAGAAAAAAAAATCTTGTGGAATGTTTTTTTCTTTCCCAGTAATGTACAAAATGGAAATTTTTACGTGTTTCAAGATAATTCTGACACGGCCTGTCTCTCATCGCTGATAAAACTGTATTAGCACAATTTAATATCATACAAGTACGATTGCATTCTATCAAGTAACATATTGAGATGAGATTTTATTCTATATTTTTAATTATTTTCTTCAGTTTGTTCCTTTCAATAAAACATCAATGAATATTTTGTGATGCAATGGCAAAATAACAGCACCTAACAGTTTATAGAAGAGATCCAAATTGGTGAAAAGGGTTAAATAAAAACTCATTTAATTACAAAATTATTTCACAAGATGCTCAATGTGAAAAAATTTTCACATAGCACAGTTTATGTAGATTTATGAAGATATTGAACATCAAAACGACAAAAGAATTTGAATCAGTTTCTCATTTGCGTTGTTGGTATTTAAAGATTATTCGTAAACTGACTAAACAAAAAGAATCTTCTTTATTCAATTGATAGGGTGTGCGGATGGTCTAATGGATAGCAGCTGGGATAGAAAATTTGTTTGAATTCTTGACAGGTTTGTTACACTCACTTTTGCACAAATACCTTTAATAAGGGGTATGAATGCATCTCTGTCCACCCCCTGCCCAACTATGTATTAAATAGAAAGACTGAAATAATCATAATATTTTTAAAAATTGCTAGTGCAATATTCACTTACAAAAAACAAAAATCTTATAATCCAAAATATGTATATAACCAACAAAGAAAAGGGTAGATAAACTGAACAAATCAAATCAATCAACTATAAATTGTTCATTTTAAAGTACAAATGCCACCATTTAAGTATTTACATTATTTTAGGAAACTAATGTTTTGTGCACACATTTCCTTTGTGCATTAGTTACTAAACATTCATGTGCATGCACAACTTTGATTAAATCAGAGTTCTAAGTGCAAACAAGCATAGAATCAAGTGGATTTCAAATCTGGATATCTAAATGTTAATCTTGGCAGAGTTAAAACTGCAAAAGACAAAATTTACATAAATATCTCTGCTAGAATTAACAAAAATTTGAATTTTTTATTTTCTTAACAAAAGAAAAGTCAATATCTATAGTTTTTTTTTCCCCATATCCAGACATTTAACCAGTTTTGCTCATGTTTAAATGATATAAAAAAAAAAAAAATCAGGCCAACATAGCAAAGAAACAATGAAATTGAGAGAAATTTAAAATATAGTTTAACATCAAACTATCAAAGCATTTTAGAGAATTTTTTAGGCATCAATATTTTTTATGTAGAATTACATCTTAAGGAAAATTAAAAAGCATAAAAGAAAAACATTTATGGCAAAATATTTATAACTCTGGAAGTGAAGATTAAAAAATTCAAAATTATCTTTCATCTAGGAATGAGCAAACGGTTCCAAACTTTCTCAAGCAGTGAAATTAAACCTGAATATATTTTTTTAGCATGGAAAGTGAAATCATTGCACCATTATTTAAAATTGAGTTTATTTTATAAAAAAAAAAAAAAAAATTTTTGTTGTTTTAGGAATTTATTTTTCTAATATTTTTTTCTTTGTATTTTTATATTGAAAAATTTAAATAAGATGATAAACTGAACAACAGCTTTGGATAATGAATAACAAAACAAAATGGTATCATATTAAAGAGGGTTAAAAAATTAAGGATTCTTCATTTCAGATTTTCAAATAGCACAGAAGATTAAAATACAACCAAGAGAATAATACAATTTGTATATTTGGACACCAGATGGAATTGTTGAAAGAAAGAGGCAGTTATCAAACTTTTCCACATGTTAACTATTTGTATGTCTTTTAATAGTTACCTTTAAAAAAAAAAAAACTTTCTTAAAACAAAGCCTGTTAAATATTATGGACAAATTTAGATTAAGAAATTCATACAGTAATCATTTATTAAGACTATATGTAAATATTTATTAAATTTATTCTGACACAATACCATCACATGGTGAGGTAACCAATGAAAAATGAACTCATAAGTAATGGCTTGTGAGATCTCTCTCTCTCTCAAGGAGATGACCATGAAATGAAAATATGATTTCTGGAATGCTTATATTTGTTATGCAAGAACAACTATAATTTATATGATATTTTCAAATGTACAGCAAACAATATTATCCTTTTGCTGCCTCTTATAAATATAAAGTTAATACTTGTTCATTTTTCTAATGATCATTGTAAAAATTAGTGTAATTGACCTGAGAAAAGGCATTAAATTTTATCTGTCAACTCCTTCACTGGATCAAATCTACTTTTAACATCTCTGTATTTAAGAGTCAAATTCAAGATCATGTCTTTCTAATAGTAATTTAAACCAATAACCAGCTGCTGTAAGATCTTATCTTAATTTGTGACAACCTGTCAGTTTCTTGGCTCTTAAATGCAGTTCTTCTACTACTTTTTGATGGGTTTGTGTGTGTGTTTAATAAATAGCAAATAATGTGTCATGGCTGAGATTTAATCAACAAAAGACCCAAAGACTGAACTATATACTCAATAATTACAAGTTTCTCTATAGTTGATATTGATTTAATGCTAAAAACACTTTCAGGGAGACTATATAATCTACCATAAATATTAAATGTGGTACAGCATTAAAAATCAATAAAACAATTCTCTTTTTCCTTTAGGTTCTTGAACTGATTTCAGACTGAGTAGAATCTGTTTATACAGGATGCTTCATTGGTGTGTAGTGGGGAAGAGACTGGAAAACCATTATCAATTTTAAAACCTTGAACCAGCAAAATTTTATCTGTAGACTTAGGAGAGACAAAAACAATCATAATAACAACAGAGTTGCAACAAGATTCAAAACCTAAGATGATGAAAAATTAAATTCTGTTTCAGCTTTTATCTTTCATCAATTTATAGCTTTTAAATCTTGCTGGTACAACTATCGTAGAATTAATGATTTTTTTCTTAAAATTTACTAATCACAATTAGGCAATGCACAAATAAAATATAGATCATCTGCAGAAGTAAAAATAAAACATTCACTAAAATCAACAATAATTCATAAAATGTTACTTTCAATTTTGGTGTCAATGTTTACATTCTGAAATTGAAATTTTTGAAACTCAAAAACACATGAGAATTTGGCATTTCATATAAATGATAATAAAAAAAATAATTAAAAGCAATTGTATCAGTTGTTAATTCTCAAAATCAAGGAAAAGTAGAAATTTTTTTTTTGGCCTTTCCCTGTATTATTTTTTTTTATTATTATTATTAGAAAGCTGAAAATGAGATTAAAATAAATTAAACAAAATAAAAATATTTCAACAAATCACCATTCCCAATCATAAGAGAGAGAGAGAAAAAAGGAGGAGGAGGAAGGGCTGTGCTGTCAAGAAAAGAAGGAAAAGATAAATGCTGGAGACAAACAATAGACATGCAGAGGCAAGGATGTTGCCAGGAGGGTGAAGGATACCCACCATGACAATAATAATACTTAATAACATATTTAAGGGAAAAGGCAGAGAAAGCAAATTCAGGTGACATTGAAGAAGGTTGTAGAATCATGAGAACCTGTTTAACATTTTTTTTTTTAAAGTTCAAATAAAATGTTGGAGTCATAAAATCCTAAATAAACTACAAAAGCCATGAAATGGAAAGGTTCAGGCTATGAGTTCTCTTAAGAAATGAAGTCACTAACCTGCTCTTGGCTAAGAAACTAATCTGAAACCATCACCAACTTATTATAGTAAAGGTTTCTAATCACAGGTATTCACAGATAAATACACCATGATTCTACAGGCACTTCTTATGTTTATGCTTTGGTCTTGAGCATCTCAAGAACACTTTCTGTTTCATTTAATTTAGATCATAGGTTCAAGTAAAAGCATACATTTCCTTCTCAAAGTCGAGGCTATCAAGTTAAATATGGGCTTGCAATATCATAGCTCTTGTTGGAAAGCTTGTGGGAGCTGAGGAGTTAATAATGCTTGACCTGGTGTGAAAACAGGGGATGGGGGGGGGGGGAATAACCTGATGTACAAGGTGCAAAGGGAAAGAAAAGCAAGCAAACATGCAAAGTAAAAAGTGATTGTTGGGGTGGGGGTGGAGGGGGAGACTGGTAGAGAACAAAAATATCATCCCTGCCTGCTGTTGTTGCTAAGAACAGAAATGTTAACTGTTGGGATATTAGAAATATGAAATTATTATTATTATTATACAAAAATCAATATCGATCTCACTCCCCACCCCACCTTTATACCAGTTGGTTTAATTTCAACACTATTAGAACATTATCTATGCTTTACAAATTTCTTGAATAAAGAAATTTTAGAAAAAAAGAAAAAGTGGTACCAATAAAAATAAGACAAAAAATAAACAGGAAATCTAAAATTCCAAAGATCAATTTATGTATTTCGTTTATAGGGATTAAAGGTTCAAATCCTGTTGAATTTTTTTTTTAATCTTAAGGATAATCTGACTAGAAAAAATTCTTCCCTCAGGAAATTAACAACATAAAGAAGATTATGCACAAATTATGGATGAAATTGAAAACAGATACAAACAGATTTTTACAGAATTTTCTTTTCTCTGATATCTTATTCAAAACGAGATCCTTTCAAGCTAATAAATTATTGATTAAATGTTTTTGTTAAAACTCTAAGATGAATTTGCAGTTTAAACTCCTAAATATATAAACCTAAAACAGCTGATCTGGATGTATAGTAACTTAATTGAAAATTAGAAAAATTCAATAAAAATATCGAACAAATTCACCAGTTAAATTTAAATTTATATAAACATTGTTTTAGCATTTATTTTACTTTTTTGGTTTAAGTTTTCTTAAATGATTAACTTTGAGAATAATTAATCATAAACAGGTGGGTTTGTTGTTATTATGCTGTGATGGAAATTACATACAATAAGAACAATTCTTTCAATTGTAAATCTGTATGGAACAAAATAATTTTTATTTTCCAAATTCCACCAGTTTCTGCTCCCACTAAAAGAAATTGAGCACAGAAAGAACGGATTCCATTACATCAAGCATAAAAGAATAAAATGTTTTGGTAAACATTTCAGGCCATTGTATCCAGAAGAAACACAAAATCAAAGAGTCAGGTTGGCAGCACAACAATCTTTGATATTTTCTTTCTACAAGATTTTACTTACATAGGAAGTGTGTGGAGAGTACTCTTGGATACAATGGATCAAAACCTAAAGAATTTTACCAAGATTTGTATTCTAATGTTAATCTGATTAATTAGCAAAATAATTTTTTTATTTAAAGAGAACATGTAAATCTAAACAAACATAGAAATTAATTTCTCCATGGTTATGTGTAACACTATTCAGATGGTGACAAAAGAAATTTTATACTTTGAGATATGATTTCAAACATAACTTTACTCAATATTGATTTCTCAACTAAATCCTCCAAACCACATTTCAACCATTCTAGTTTTCAACTATCTTTTATACAATTTCCTTTTTTATGCAAAACACATCCCCTCTCTCAGCCTTGTGGCATCCCTCACCCTTGGCTCCAGAGATGCCGGACCCTTGTGGACCTGCCTGAATCACCTCTGAACACCTGTTAGTTACTGTAGAGCCAACCTTCAGAAATGGGGATATGCCACTGATGATGATCCCAACTGTTAACGCAGGCAATTAGCAATGACTGAGCATCTTCTAGTTTGCCCCCAATCTTGAAGATTTATGCAGACTTAATGACATTGAAACCTTAACACGCCAGGCTACATAGATAAAGTAGCAGCTTGATAAGAAGTTTTCTTTTAAATTATTTTAAATGAGGCATGGATAGTGGCTTGAATTGAGGAAATGGAGAGCCGAGTTTGAATTAAAGTCAAATCCATTACATTCACTTACATGCTAATACCCGTGGGAAAGGTATGAATCCTCCTCTTCTCTCCCCAGCTATGGGTAAATAGCAGGACAGACTGGGTTCTATAGCCTTGGATGGCAACTGGTCTACCGCAGAAAGAAATGGCAATCTACTGCAGGAAAAAATCTGCCTCATCAGTCATGTATCAAAAACATGATCGCTTAAGCGTGTATCATGTATGGCACATAACTGACTGACTAAATGAATAGCTTATTTTATGAAATGACATTGCATAGAGTGAATGGAATTCTTTGTTGCTATCATGATTAAAATAGCCTGTGTAGAAATAACAAAAAGATAAAAAAAATGTTTACCTTGAAAGATTTAGGCAAGAGATTATCAGTTTCTATTTAAGGATCAAAACAGAAAAGATCATTTACTCTTGCTGATTGTTGTCTTGATAAATATAACTTGTATTGGAAGCATTTGTTTAGACTAACATCCTCATCTTAATTGTAATTGCTACTAAGAATATTCCTAACAAAGATGTTGAAATTCATTTGCCTGACTTAAACTATGATCAATAAGTACTTATTAAACTAGACTAGGTAAATTATTAAGAAAAAGTTTATTTCTACCAAATTATTATTATTATAACTGGGGTGAGGAGAGAGTGATTTGTTTATTGCACTGAAAGATAAATGGAGTGTAGATTGGCTGAGATGTAGTTTGTTCTTGCACAAATCTTATTGCAAAATATAAATTTTGAAATTTTATAGAGTACAAAACAAAGCTAAGTGGTTAAATTATTTAAACAGTCTAGAAGGTTGATTTCCTAGTACCAAGCAAATGACACTTCTTAACACATTCAAAAAAAATTATATTACAGTTAAAAACCAAATGCACTGGAACACTATAACTTAGCAAGTAGGCAATGGCAAACAGTTGGTATAACACATTTCTGAATATGAAGAAGAAGAGATAGGTATAAAAGAGAAATGGATATTACCATGTTATACCCAAGAAACATTTTGAAATGTCTAAATAAACTTTTATTAGATGTCAACATCTATTTGGGTCATGAGGCATTAAATATCCATTTTCTTTTTTATTTTATTTTAGCAGTGGTAGTAGGGAATTATTGCAGCCACACTTAATATACAAACCAGGTTTATTGCACTAATCATGAGATTAGAAAAAGTAAGTATCAGTGTAATTATTTTTAATTATTTTAAAAGGTCGTCATCCAGTGCCATTTACATACTAACACATTTTCACCAAGAATATTTACATTTAACTTTTGGAGCTAAACAGTCTTAGCTTCATTTTAAAAATCAGTAAACATTAGACTTATTTTAAAAAACTTTATCACAACTACTAAACAAAGAATAACGTTATGTACTTTAACTTCTAATAATTTTATAATACATCTTGGTAGATGATTATCAATTATTTATAAGAATAAAAATAGTATTGCATGCAAATAAGTTTAAACTGGAAGCCAGGTGCGTTATTAATTGCTTGAATGTGATTGGATAATACTCGGATTAAAATGTTAGGTCAAAGGATAAAAAGTAGGATTTAACAATAATAATCTCATCCTAAAACTGTTCTCTGATTATTAACCATCATTTTTATGAGGGACAACAATGGAATATGAACTCATTTTACAAATCATAATTGATAATAGTACTTAGTAAGGTAATACAAAAAGAATAAATGATACAACATACATAAACTAATTGTGTACCCTCAATTTCTTTGTTTCAATTTCATTTATTTTTGTTCACTTAAAAACATTAAGTATATTCTCATAAGATGGTATAGTTGAGAGAATAAACAGTTTCAGTCATTTAAAAAAGAAAAAAAAAAAAAAAAAAAAAAAAAGCATAATTCTTTTCCTTATTGACCTTGAGTGAACAAATTATACTCTACAGTATTTACTATGTACTAATGATGACCAAAAAGGTAAAGAGAACAAATATAATAAAAATGACCTTGTAGGTCTCCTATTCTTACCTGGATTTAATAAAAGAAGTTTATATGCTACAAAGGAAGAAGAGCAGAAACATTGGGAATTTAGATTGAAAATTTTGTTTTGTTACAAGAAAATTAGGAAATTTTGGGTATAACATAAATGGAACTTGTGTGTGTATGTGTATAAAGGTCAAAAAGTAAATAGAAAACATACCTGTAAATAAGCAATATTTAATTAACAGCAGCAAGGCATAATTTTTCTGGATATTTAAATATTTATTCACATTATTCCCAAAAATCTCTATTCATAATTTCTTGAGGAGGATGTGAATAAACACTGAAGTATTCCTAAAACTGTTAATCAAATATCAATTATTTACAAGCATATTTTCAGTTACCCTATCCTTAGTTTTAAAGTTGTCTGATAGACAAAGGGTGTGTGTGTGAACGAACACACACAAACAAATGTGCAAATTTTTTTTTTCTTTAAGAAAGTATATAATCATTTTAAAAGCAATTTGATGCTCTTTTTGATCTCATAGAAAAAATAAAACACAATTTTTCCCCCACCCAAGAAATCAACCGAAAAATGTAAGAGGAGAGAAGGGGATTTTTTTTTTTTTTTGTAAAACCCTACCAAGGCTTTCTGTCCAACATAGGATGGAAGAAAAACATTGAAATATAAAACAAAACCTAGAAACGTATTATAAGGCTTTTTTGACAATTAAAAAAAATAAAAAAAAAAATATACAGAAATTGAAAACAGTACATTTTTTAAAATTTTTTATTAACCCATTAGCATTCAATACACTCAAACCCACCCTGTAAATATCAGCTCTTAAAAAGTCTCAGTGTTTGCATGACTTCCTGCATTATTTGGGATGATGTTGTCATATATTATGACAGAGTATACATGGGGTGGGTTACAATACATTAAACATTGAGGGCCAATATTTATGGGGGTGGGTTGAATGCTAAAGAGTTAAGATGAAGCAGCAATTTTGGTTGTAGTAAATATCTCTCACTTAATCTGTTAAAATATCTCAGAAGTTAAAGATACAAGAGATAGCTGTTTAATATGCAGTACATGGTGTTAGGTAGAAGAGGCTCATTAATCATAACAGACCATAAAGGAAAGAAATATAATTTTTAGGAACTAGTGGTGGCAGACATTAAAAAATTCCACTTAATTTCAAAAACACACATTGATTCATATACTTAGAAGCAATGAAAACTGAGAAATGTTTTTTCAGATAGCTTTAACTGCATATTGGCAGTAAAGTCTAAGAAGTGGTTATAATATGAGGGGGTACTGAAAAATTCTCAGACCAACCAAGACACCATTTAAAAAAAAAACAAAAAAACTGGCCATACTGTTGAGCGAGCTGAACAAAGAAATTTCCAGCACCCTCTCATAATTTATAAGAGATTTGCATGCTAAGGAAGAGCACATGGTGAGTGAAGAAATGCTTTAATGGGGAGCTGCATTGTGCCTAAATGTCAAGTGGACGTGTGAGAAGAGAGAAAAATCATGTCTTCAAGGAAAATCTGGTGTTATACTATCAGAGAGCAGTCTGGTTGTTAATTGCAAAACTCATCAAAGGTAAGCAGGATTAGTTAGACTGGTTAGCAGTGGAATCTTTTAGTTACCAAAGCACTAAAGAGTCTGAAAATAGAACTTGGACTGAATTAGTTGAAAATAACTGATATGAGGAGATAGAATAGGAATTTTTTTTATTTTACTCTTCTCCAAAATAACCTGTTTGCAAATTAGGTAGAGAGTTCATCTGTCAGACATAGTCAATAGATATTGACATTCAGTTACAAAGTATGTTTTGTTAAGCAATCTTAAAGTTGAATATTTTTTTTTTTAAATATGAAATAGAAAAATTCTAAAAATAGTTTGTTGTGTTTTTTTGCATTTTACAATTGGTTAATTAATAACTTTATCACACAATTAGCTTAAATGAATTAGCCACCAAATTTTCAAAAGCTGATGATTGGTTTTGGTATTAAGCTAAATGTTTTTGTCTGGAACACTATTTAAATGGTGGTATAGTTGTTAAAAGATATAAATAAATACATTAAGTATTTTAATTTTTGTTAGTGGAGATATATCATGCATTCTTTCATAATTATACTTACTAGTCTATTATTAACATTATTATATTAAAGAAAAAAAAATGGTGATGAAATTAAGATCTACTTGTAGTAAGAAAGAAGAAATCTCTATGAAGTTGCTTTGAAATGAATATATGCAATGCAAAATAGTTTATCATTACAGTCAGATGGTAACATGTAACCCAGTACAACATGCTGCATGGATGGGTCATTGGTGTTTAAATCAGCTTTCCCAGAAACTTTTCTGCTTGTGTGGAGGGTTGCATGTCACTCCACAGGACAATAAACAAGACCTGTCAAAGAGCAGATGAGCTTCTTATAAGAGCCAATGGCATATATATATATATATATATATATATATATATATATATATGGTACGATGGGTAAATTGTCACCATTTTATATTTTTAATTTTGTGCATGCAAACACCGTTTGTTTTTGATTTTGTCAACAGTTTGGTCATTTGGGTACAGTCTGTGAGAAAGAGAGCACTATGACGCAATTTACTCAACCATAAATTCAGAAAAGGTAATCTGAACTGTTTGGCATTTGTGCTGGAAGTCAACATTACAGAGTGTTTGGGTATGAATCTGAGGGCAGTGCAGAGAATTCGGAAAGAGTTGGATGAGTCTAAAGGTGATTATGAAGGTACAGCAACTTGGAAAACTCACTGATCATTCAGAATTTGTTGGTGAGGGCCTCAGACTCAACATGGAGACCTACATCAAATGACTTTAGGAGGTAGTGCTGCCTTGGGTCAAGAAGGTGGCTGCTGGAAGACCCAATGTCTGGCAACAGGACTCTGCACCATGCCACACAAACAGGAGAATCAAGTCATTGCTGTCAGACATGTTCCGCGACCCTATCACCCCTTACATCTGGTCACTTAACTCCCCAGAATGCAAACCTCCTTGATTATTATATATGGGTGCAATTGAGCAAGAGACCAACAAAACTCCTTTAACACCAACGATGAACTGAAAGCAAGGATTATTGCAACATTCAACAACTTAACAAGGAGGCCATCCAGAAGAGTTGCAGAAGATTCTGAAGACGTCTGGCAGTTGTGGTTGAAGCCAATGGCAATTTTATTGAATAAATTTACTCTTTAGTATTTCAAAATATTGTGCCTAAGTTTGCACACAGGAAAAAAAAAATTGCTCAATGCCATAAAAAATGGCAGAGTTTAACATTTGTTTTGCCACACCAGCAAGCCTTTTCTGGTGGAACTTTTACCTTTTTTTTGGTTTTTGGCTTTTCTTCAATCTTGGCCGGATAGGTTACCCTCCCCTGGTGAGTTTGGTTGGCTCACCATCTTGGGCTCGCCTGGTGGTATAAGGGTTCCTATTGTACGAACTACAGCTACCAACTGCATGATGATTGCTTGAAAGCACATGAAACTGGAAGTCATGTTTGGTCACTGGCCAACTGGAATTTAACTTAGTGTGTGTATATACAAGTGGACATTGAAGTCAATATCCAGCAGCAACAGTCTGTTTCATGCTTAAATGCAATTATCAGGCCATGTGCATTGTGGTTTGGCTCAACTATTTATATATGCTGAACAGTGGTGCATTATGGGTAGGCCTATTGTATTATTTTAATGGTCATTTGGGTGGGTGGTAATAGTTATGTTTCGAATTATTCTAGGGGCTATTGAGTGAAAATAATTATGGAACCATATGCAGTTATGTGGCTATTTTATACTGTTGTTTAACTTATTTATTATGATTATTTTATTAATTGTTAATTTGTTTATTATTTACTTAATTATTGGTTTGGGTTAATTAATTTTACTTATTTATTCTATTTTATTATTTATTTTTTGTTCATTTTTAGTTTTTTGATTTTAAAATAATATATTAAAAATTTGTTTTCGCCTTTTTTTCATTTTGAGATGAGTTCTGAAAATTTTCTACTCCAGACAGAGTTTACAGCTTTTGGATTTACTGTTACAGGCTGATGTTGTTTTCCTTATTTTTCATGATATTTTTGGTGTGATTTGGTTTTTGCTTTTAATTTCCCAGATATGTTTAGAAAGCATTGTGCTGTTTGCGTATTTATTATTTATATAGGATGTTCTGTGTGCCCAGCATTTTTTGTTTCCAGGCTCCTTCAGTTATTGCTATGTATATTTTTCTTTCTTTGTTATCTTTTGATTTTACAGTGGTTTGGTATATTACATTGTTCTGCAAGCAATTGCCGTTTAAGGGATATTCATTCTTTGCTCTGCAGTTACAGGAGAGTTTGATTTGTGCAGGTGGTTTGTTGGTTGTTTTCTGTTGTGCTTTTTATTTTTTGTGTCATGTCCTTGGTGCAACTATAACTGACTTTTAATGTATTTTTGTTGAATATCTTGTGGAGAGTGCTTGATAGGGTGGGGGAGAGGAGTGTTTGTTTTTGAGTTAAATGAATATCTTACCTACATTTATTTTTACATTTTTGTTGCATGTTTGGTTGATGTTTCTTTTCCTGTTGGCTTTTTTGTTTTGTGCCCCATGTATGTGAGTGTTGCCAAAAATCCATTATGTTTTAAGGCTGTTTCATAATCTTTCTTGGTATTCAACAAAGCCAAGAAAGATTATCAGTGTCAGGAAGAGCCTTGTAAAACCTTGTCTCAAATCATTATGACAAATCCTTTTTGTCAGACACGACTCACCTTACTTTGTGAGAGATTAATCCCAGACTTGCCTCAAAAACAAAAAAACAAAAAAAAAAAACACCAACATGTCTATGCATATATGTGGACCTGAAATATCGATTGTTAACATTGATGTTTTTGAAAGTTCAATAAACTTCTTTCCATTGAAAATGAATACATTCTATGATCCTATGTAGGAACAGTTTGCTTAGCCTACTAAATGCCAATGATCAACATGTAATTCTTATTTCTAGATGAAGCAATCTCTATTAAGAAGGAACTTTTTCCTTTTTCAAAAATATTCCAACTTTTGAAGATATAAGAAAGCATTGAATGCAGGGGGAGGGTAATTGTTATGCAGTCAGAGAATAAATTGAAATATTGGCTGAAGCTACAAAGATTCATTTTGTATAACGCATTTAGGAAAACAAATTCACTTCTGCCAGTGTTCTGTCCTATCAAAAAACATCTTGAGAAGAACTTTTTTTTTTCCTTGACAGGCCACAAGATTTGAGCAAGAAGAGAATCAGTGAGTGAACTGCTTTCCCATAACTACCTTAACTACCCAGGTAGTAGGAGGATAAAATTGTTACACCCATAGTCAACCTTGACTAAAGAAATAAAAAATGCTACAGTGTGTACAAAGTTTCCCAAAATGAAAAAAAAACAAAAAAAACAAGACTATACTCCAAGGATTATTGAGGATTTAAGCCAATGTTTTTCCAATGCAAAATCACTTGCAACTGATTTTGCAATAAAGTTAAAGATTTAATGAACATCTGTAATGTCTTGCTTATTTTTTTTTTTAAATCTTTCATATGACGTTAACTAAATATTTGACATTTGTTTATTCAGTGTTTTATTCATGTCCAAGATGGCTTGCTTTGTGGCTGAGGCAGTTGGATATTACTCACAGGTTACAGGAGTCATGGTCAATATGTCAGGATTTTAAATGTTTGATTTTCAAGGCAAACAAAAACTCCTCTCTTGGAAGATTGTCACAACACACTCTTTCTATTCTTCTCTATTCCACTTCTATTTGTTTTTGCTTAAGACTAAGCTAAATTTAGTAAATATCAAGACTTTAAAAGATTGTATAAAAGAACAAAAAATTTTCAGGTCATTTTCTCACAGGTTTATGTGTCTGGAAATAGATTAAACAAATTCATCAAAATTTATGTCTTAGAATTTATCTGTAATTAAAATGCTTGTTAATATCAGTTCAAATATTTTAACGCTGTACCCTCAATTCATAACAAAGATGAGGATGTTAGTTCAAACTAATCACTGAATGATTACTAAGTGAGTCATTGTGTCTTGATTACAAATGTCTGTATTCTAGCAAAAGTGATATTTTGTATGCTAACAAATTATTTAGAATCAGATGATGGAAAGATAACACTTCTAAATATATTTTTTTTTGTTTTTAAAAACTTGTAACAAATGATTATATACATATAAGTGCATGGCATTGGGGATTGAACTCCAGACCTTATGATCCTCAGCATAAAACAGTTAAAAAGAAAATTAAAATAAAAAAGGTGGAGGATACTTAATGGCCGCCAAAAAATAATTGATAAGAAATTCCTTTTACATTGTTTTTAATACGAGTATTAACCACAGATTCAGTTGAATTCTTCTAGGAATTAAAGTGAAGGGTCAGAGGAATAATTTTATACAGAAACTGGTTGGTTATGGGGTAGGGAAGGAAACATTTAAAATGAGGGGTAAAAAACAAATCAGTTAATCATTAATTATATTTTGATCAGCCATTTTGAAATAAAATTGAGATTTCGCTCTTTGCTACTCACGTGGAAAATTTTGTGGGTATCCTTTCATACGTTCTGCGGGAGAAAGAAAATAAAAACTTCATGCATGTGGTCATGTTACACTAAGAGATTAGGGAACAGGCATGAGTCAGCCTATCCCTAGGCCAGGTACATCATAATCAGAGAGGTACAATCGGAAAAGCAATCAAAAATGTCTTAATCTCCATTAAGCAAAACAAATTGTGCACGAGACAATTTAATTCTTTACTCAGTTTTTTTTTAAGAAGACAAAAAAAAAAAGATTTTTTTTAAAAAAAGGAAGGTAGGAAAAGACAAATTAAACAAACCAATTTTTCTGATGGTACCTCAAACAGAAACATGTTCTTAAGAGAAAAATACTAATCTTTTTTATTTCTTCATCCCTACTGATGAAAGTGAAATTTTGAGGAGAGAAGTTGAAAGGGCTGAGAGCATAAAAAAAAAAGTGCACCTGAATCAGGTGCACAAACAAGCATCCAGAAATGTAAATAAATGCAACAAATAAGGTGAATGTCTTTGGTGATTTTTTTCTTTTTGTGATTGCATTGTTTTTTTTAATATTCAGAAGCCAGTTTAGAAATTACAAATCTTAAAATCCTTGGTCCTGATACTTATGATTCATTTACTTATAGAATTTATATTGTCTTAATCATATCACTGAAACTAAAAGGGCATCCTGTGAAAAGGGAGGAGAAAAAAAAAAAAAAAAAAAAAAGAAAGAAACACTTCTAATAAGAGAATAATTTGCAGAATATGAGAATACATTTATACAAACTGTGTGTGTGTAAAATATGATATTATCAATATCAAAATCCCTCACTCAGGGCTTCATATAACTCTGCCTAATGATTATTATTACATGAGCAGATGATTTTGGTATTAATAATATTACATTTAGGCTCTGTTGACTTTGGCATTGAGCACTCAGTTTATTTAATATTTTAAGCTTTAGCTTTTATTCTTACTATATATATATATATATATATATAATAGATATGTACCATGCCAAAAATGAAGCCACTAAGTGATATTACCAAAAGCACATACAAAAAAAAATTCTAATTGCAATTGTTTATTATACAAAATGTAAATGTGCATATTTAAATAATCAAAGTAAAAAAAAACAATTGGTACTTTCGTGATTGTTACCAACACACACACACACACACACACACTCAAACACTTGACTAAATTATCTTAAAACAATTTAATATATTTTTCTGTCAAAAATTTTCAAAGTATGTTTTTAATTTTTCCAAAATTTAATATGCAGAATAATTTGCAATAATACTGATCAATGCATAATAATCTGTAAATATATGTGGCAACCATTTCTGTACTTAGGATGCCAAAAATCACATATACATCGTGACTCACTTGGAAAAATGAGTTTGCAAATAGTGCAACTTTCAGTGTCGATATTCAAAGTCAACTGATATGAGAAACATCCCTGCCCACCACCACAACATTCATATCTCTGCTGCTTTTGTGCCCATCTAGTCTCACTCAGTTCATTTAGCCAAATTTAACAACTACTCCTTTATATAAATTACTATTAAAATTCTTTTTGATTTGCTTGAAAAGATCAATTTGTCTTATTTTTACATGTTCTATTCTAATTTTCAAATCGCCACACATGGTTTTGGCAACAAAACAAAAATATACTTGGAAACATTATTGATAAGTATGAAAGTTTAGAAAAATCTCTTAATTCTATGATGTAATTATTGAGAGCTTCTAAAATAGCTTTTAGCTCTTCATCCTAAGAATAGTAATAAAACTATTTTCTTTTACTTTGTTTTCCTGTGAGAAATGGTAAAGACTTAAGTTTAAATATCTATTCTCCCAATATTTACAAAACAGAATCAGACAAGTAAACTTCCATGAAAAATACTGAAGTGAGATATATGTTATAATTAATTAACATTATCAATCTTATTAAAGTGAACACATACAGTATAAGTAATTTGTAAATATTGTTTTTAAACTAATTAAAAAAAAATCTTCATTAAGATAATCATTAAACTTTAATTCTTTAATTTGTTCTGCTTGAATCAGAATGTTATTTAAAACAATTCTGTTACAACATATTCTATCAGTTAATCACTTAGCAGATACTGAGTTTAGATTTGCATTTTAAAATTCCAACCAATTTGTATAGCAAAAAAAAACAAAAACAAACAAACAAACAAACCCTGGAGTATATAGAAAATGGAGTGAAAAAGTGACTCAACCTCAATAAGTGATGAATATGTTAGCACTTAAATGATTGTGTAAAGTGAGTGATGTTTTACTGTACAAAAGCCATGCATTGACACAAGTAATTAAACACTCATCCATGCAAAGAGGCAAATAAAAAGAGCATAACAGACTAAAAATGATGGACAAGGAAAAGAAAACAAAAACAAAGCAAAAAAAAAAAACAAAAAAAAAACAACATTGATTAAATCAGAAAAAGAAAATCAAATTATTTGACAGTGAAATGAACAAAGTTGAAGAAAAATCCAAGGAAAAACAAAAAAGATTTGCAATTTTGCTGCTATTAATAACAATAAAACTGGGTTTCTAAACAATTTAATTGAAGAGAAAAGTGTCTGAATGTTCAAAACATAAAATATATGGCCTTAATAAGTAACAATCATTTTCCACAGACAGATTTAAACCAAAAACGTTTAAAAATGTATTTTGAAATTTTACATTAAACAAACAAAAAAAAGAAAAGAAAAGAAAAATAGATGGCAAACCCTTTGTGATTCAACAAGTTGAATGAGAGCAACAAATGTTTTCTGTCCTAATCTAAACAAAGATCAACAAGAGAAATGAGAAAGGAAGACTATTCAGATAGACTAAGACAGAAGTTTGCAATACAAAATATGAAGAAAGTTGAATAAAACTAGCATTTATTTTTTCTCCTTTGACAATCATTCTAAATTTACTTCTCCCATTCATACTTTACTCCAAATGAATAAACTAAATTTTTTACATGCAGATAAACATTTTTCTTATCAACAACTTTCTTAGTGAACACAATGAAGAGAAACAATATAAACGTTATCAAAATTAAGTGCATAGATCCATTACACTACACTGGAAAAAAAATAAATAAAAAAAAACGGCAGATTTTCACAACTGGTTCAATCAAGTTGTAAAATCTTTTTCAGTTTTTATGTTCCTAACAAGAATCCAGAATGAAATATCTGAAGAATATTTTTTAATTTCTTCTGAAGAAATCTTGCTTGAATCCTTCAAGTGTGTGTGTGTCTATTCATAGACTAAATGAAAACTTTGGTTTCTTGACAAATCACATCCACACTTAATGCATGGTGACAAATGTTTTCTTATGACAGTTGGAATAAATTTTTGTCAGTGAAATGTGTTCTGAAAATTTCCTACTTTTATTCTAAACAACTAAGGAAACTAAGATAAGATAAAATTAACCTATTTCAATATATTATCGTTTCTTGTGTATTTTGATGAGGCCTAATTATTAAAATTATCTTAAAAACAAATATGAAATCATTAGGATTTGACTATTAATAGTCACTTATCAATGGACAAAACTGCAAACAAATTCAAAAAAATGAACTTCATTGCAATCAGCTCAATTTGAACACACAACAATCAAACATTGAATTGTTTATGATATTTTAACCAGAAATAGTAGAAAACTATGTTTAACAACAAAAGAAAGAATTTTTTTTTTCATATTTTAGTGAATTGATATAAACATTAAGCCAAACCTCTTTGCTGATTAATTTTTTTTGTTTTGGTAATTTGTTCACATAAAACAATTGACAACCAAATGCTTTTTATAATGACAAACTGCATAAAAAATGACAGAGTTAATTTTTCATACAAACAATATATGGATAAGTAAATTAAATTTATCAAAGGTCACATGTTTTATACTTAATTTAAATGACCTCTCAAGATTTACAAGAGTTTTCTTTTTTTTTCTGCAACTGCCTAAATTGGCAATAGAAGAGTGATTCTTATAAGTGTTCCCTTATTTATTCTTGATTTTTCAACCATTGTTGTAGAACAGTAACAAGATATTTTGTTATCTGGTGCTGGGACAAAGCATTATAGGCAAAAGTGGATTTGGGCTCTTATCAAGAACATTCATTCAACTTGAACACAAACAGCTTCAGACAAACTTTAATTTGGTTTGCCAATTTCTTTTTGGTACTGATCGTCATTACATCATCCTGTAACCAACCCAAATATATAATACATTTACAATTACCAGAAAAATCAATCCACAAGGAAACTATGCAAGATTTTGTTAAAAAGAATTACATGAAGAAAATGAGTTACATATAAAGATGAAAGTGGATCTGTTACAGTTTTTCATTTCAGTATTGTTATAGGCTATTAAAGTTGATAATTAAAGAAAGAAAGAAAGAAAAAAAAAATTCAATGGGGAAAATAAAGAAAGCATTTTAAAAAATGTCACTATTGAGATTAATTCATATAGTTACTTGTAGTCTAAACAAACAGAAAGTATCATTTTGTTATTGTCAATTCTGTTGATTAAAGTGTGTGTTTTAGGATTAAAATTCTTGACATTTCTTTCTTAATTATAAGCTACTATTGTCCCAATATATAAATATAGTCACCATTTCTTTATTAATATCACTTTTAGGACATCAAAATAACCTTGGAATTTTTCAGCAGAAATTTTATACAAAATTTCAGATGTCAAGCCACAATGAGGGCATTACCATAATTTTTCTTCTTTTTAGTTGTTGAGGAATATTGATTGCATAACTTTTGGTTCACTCATTATATAATTGAATGTAAATTAGACCAAAAGGCTGCAACAAAATTTAAACTTATAAAGAAAATACTTTATTCCTGTTTTTTTATACACTGGCAACAAATTTTTCAATTTTTTTATACACTTTTCTGTCTATTAAGCCTGATAATTTGGAACATCAAGTTGTTTTTTAAATGTGAAAATTACATTTCATATATATTACTATTAATTTCTTTATCGATATTGTTCTAAAGTGTCCTTTTTTTAATTTTCAATC